ACACACACACACACACAGGCAGACACACACCTCTTCCTGCGGGTTCATTCACACCAGTCCAGTTGGTCCATTATTCATCCTGAGCTCGCATTAAGAAGCAGCTACCCACAGACAAACTCACGGACTGCAGCACAGTGTAAAATAGATTTGCTTTCTGAGGCTGATAAACAAGTGATTATTTTCCCCTGTGGCTGTGCTCTGCTCATTTTTATGTCGTCTCCTCGCACATGAAGGGAGAAAAACTGCTTGTAGCTCAGGTCACATTGATTGATATGTGAGCAAGTAACAGGAGTGCATCTGGATAGGAATCATCACTGAGGCTGGATTACGATGAGAAAACATGCAATTTAATATTGAGCTGTTACACTTGAGGAGCTTTTTCTTTAGAGTTCAATTTGATTCACATATTTTGTGGGGTTTTTGTCAGCACGTTGCCTTTTGTGCATCTTAGATGAAAACTAGAGAAGAGCACATATACCTCCTTCAAGGCCTAACGCTGTAACACACAAATGCAGAAAACATAGAGTCCTTGGTGAAGGTAAATTTGAGTTTGTTTGGTTGTAATCTTACACATTTAATCATCTCTCTTTCCTGTTTCTCCTCATTGCAGTGACAGACTTCAACAATGGCTTGGAGGCCAGTTCAGACTCTGATGACGAGGACAAGCTACACATCGTGGAGGAGGACAGCCTGCAGGAGCCCGAGGTCGCCAGCGCTGAGGGGACCACGCCACAGGACAGCCATGATGCCACCGCAACAGTATTACCCCTCAACGGCTCCTGGAATGGAGGTGAGATGCCACCACAGAAACGTGAGGATCGTGCGTTCATCAGTTTCAGTATGTTGAGCATTCCAGACAGACAAACGCTGAGGAACAACTCATCTTTGTTTGGTGGTGTGTTGGAGCTTCTGTTTCAGTAGTTACTGTAGAACAGCTGGTGAGAATAATTATCCACTCAGCTGATATCAAGTGCAGCCGATTCAGGACAGAAGCCGACTCACGTTCGATGTGTTAGCTTTGCATTATTGTGCATTATTGTGCCACAGTCTTACACAAACTCCCTCCCTCTTAATTAATGCGATGGTGCCGGGACACCAACACACACACTGAGCGATCTGCTGCCAGTGTTGTTTTGTAGAAAAGCTTGAGTCAGCTGAACACAATCACAGCTCGGGAGCGCTGTGACATTTTCAGATCGACGGAGAAGCAAAGAGCGATGAAAAGCCCGAGAAGCTGAGCAATAAGGGGATGTGTAAGAGTGAAAACGTGAGGTAGGCACATGGAGAAAAGAAGGAGGGGTAGTAAACATGTCTGAGGAATAGACACGCATCAATAATTCTTTAAATAATGTATAATCCTGCCTGCAGTCGTGCAGTCGTGCAGTCGTTTGCCTGCATAATCTCACATCCAGCAAACCTGGAGAAATCCCATACATTCTATAAGGTTACGCTTTTAATAAAACAGCACTCTGCCCGGGGTCAGCTCTTTGATGGCAACATGTGCTGCGCAATGTGTGTGTGAAATCCGCGTCAACAACACGGACTGAAAATAAAGACGGCGCTCCTCCGCGTCGTCCCTGTATTCAGAAATGAAGGCAGAATGTCCCCAGATAAGAACGCTGCCGTGTTGCGCAGATGACCTCACATCGTGAAAGACATCGTGAAATCATACAGATGAAACCGACTGACGGAGCCGTAGTGCAGAAGTGCATCTTTGATTATCAGATTGATTGATTTTACTTTATTCATTATTGTTTTTACTGTATGGGTCACACAGCAAATAGGGACTCTGATGATAATGGATTGGTCTATTAAATTTCAGAAATAGTGAAAATATGGTCATCAATAATACCCTTAAGCCCGGATCCACATCTTCTAATCAGTTACTACAGTTTTTTTTATTCTCCTCATCAACTCTACATTTTCTTCGTTCCCTTTTGGAGACGGCGTGTCAACTGAGATATAAGTGGAATCAAGTTGTAATGAGTTCCCTCATTAGCTCTGCTGGGAGCGTGTGTGACTGTGGGGAGTCAACTTAAACTGCCTCTCGTTTGTCAGCGCAGACGTGGAGATATCCGGCACGTGTGTCCACTTGTAGATTCACACAGAGCAGGATGCTTCACGTCTGCTTTATCGGGGCGCAGTTCGGACCTTGTGTCGGTCATCTTTCAATTCCGCGCTGTTCCGTCTTTATTATTTCTTTTCTTTTCACTTCTTGCAAAGGCTCTTTAAAACTCTCACATTTAGAACCTCCACAGACTCTCCAGTAAGTACGTTTGCAGGATTAGCGTCTTACCCGTCCAAGGACTCTTCAGAACCATGACGCACCTTCATGTATTGTGTACTGAATGTACTGCAGAAGTAGCACTAGATTCAATAAGAACAGGCGCAGAGGTTGATTGGCCAGTGTTTACACCGCTTTACAATTCCCCTTCTAATCCTCGATTCCCCACAAACAGCTCATCCCACGCAAACATCTGCCTTCATCTCAGCAGCCGTTAGTTACAGCCAAGCAGGAAATACGAAAACCATGGAGACGGCGAGAATGTGACACTCGGAGATATTGCTCTGAAGGCTTGTTCCATTGTTGCTGAATAAAGCCTTACATGGTGTGAGCCAGCGCTCATGAGTGCCGCTCGCTCTCCTCCACTTTGTTTTCCTCCCTCTCTCAGCTCTCTCCCCTTTCTCCTCTGTGTACCTTCACTCGCTGATCCCCTTTCATCTCCGTATTCTTTTACCTCACTTGCTTTTTTGCCTTTTTTGCATGTGCCTCCTTTCTTTTCCTGTTTTCCTTCACCTGCTAAGTATCCATCCTCAGATATTATGTGAAAGCCTCTCCTCTGTGTTTGAAGTGATGGCTGCTGCTCTGCTCGCTTTGGATATTATTAGCTGTTAATTATGCACAAAAGGTTTGCTGAGCTTGTTGTTGTTCAGTAAACATTAGCGTCACTTATTCAACTTTTTTTCTTTTTGTGGAGAAACTTTCTTTCGTAACTTTTGCAGACCTCATTCTGGCGGCAGCAGGTCACACAGCTGCAGTTATTAGAGCCTGATATCAGCGTTATTACAGGGAAATGCAGAAGATACCATATGTTGTGAGGTTACACGCATTACATCACATTTATTTTTCCTGCTGTAAGAAGTCCAGCTAAAAGAGAAAATTCATTGATAGATATGAATCTATGTAGGAAAAGTGTTTTTGGTTTCATCCACCAGAAGAAGAGAGCTGGTGCATGAGATTTTATAGAAAACAGCTTTGTTGTTGTGTACTTCGTTAGTTATTTTTGAGTTTGTAGTAAAATGTGCCACGGAGAGCAGAGAAGAAAAACTTTCATTATCTGAATATTGTGTTTTTGACCCTTGACCTACAGTTTAGGATGGTACACTTGTGTGTACTTGTATGTATTTTATAACACATTTTTATTCAGACACATAAAACTATCAAATTGACACTTTAGGAGTGTTGGCACAGTCGTGTAACGTGACGTGCTTAGCTTGAGTCGTGTGCTGAGACGTAACCTGTTGATTTTCACCTGCACCTGCAGCAGTCACCAGCCGGTTCCCTCCTTTAGAAAAACATTAACGAACCGGGAGGGAGAAACTTTTTTTAGAGCGAGAGGAAGAACTCAGACTGTGTTGGAGGGAAGTCATGGAAAAGTCATAAGATGTGGTGGAGCCACTCTGGGACCCCTTCAAAGACTTTGCGTGATATTTTTGGATTGTCTGACTTTCACTCCTTTATTTCCTCCTGGTCTGAGGCGAAAGGAGAACCAGTGTTCTGGTGAGAGAGATTAAAGTCTGCTACTCCCCCTGCAGTCTGGGCCGCAGTGCAGCTCCAATCCATCCTGCCTAATAAATTCACCACGGACTCTCAGTGACAGGTTCTGGCAAGGTATAGGGGTGCAGTGTGTGCCGAGTGTGCGTGTTGGTCTGCACAAATGTGTTCTATTAAGTGTGTGTGTATGTATCAGATGATTTCCTGTTTTCATTCCCTTCTGATATTCCACATGTGTGTGTGTGTGTGTGTGTGTGTGTTGCATGGTCCTGGTCGTCATTACAGTGCAGCTTTTTGCGAGGCATTAAGTGTAATTGGGGAGTGTGCTGGGAAAATATGCAGAGGTGTATCAGAGAAGGGGAGGGAGGAGGGTCAGGAGAAGAATGATGGAGGGAACCGATGCAAGCAAGTGAAGGAGAGAGGGGGAGGGGTCAGAAAAACAAAGAGGGGATAGAGATTTTGTAGAATTTCCAGAGAACTGAGAGAAATTGTGAAATACTCACAGAGGAGAAGGAGAGATGTTTAAGAAAGGAGAACAGAGTGATTTTCTTTATTTGTTTATGTTACCTGCACCATGCACTGCATCGCTTTATACCTTATAATAGAAATAATGTTTGGCCATATCGTAAAACGACCACTTACGTCAGCAGACATTGTTAGAGTATGAAATATAAAGATTAGGCTTATTAAGCTGCAGGAAAAATGAGAAGTAGAACTACGTCAGTTGATTTTTTTAAAAGTGCCATCTGGAAACTACCTGAATAAAACGATGAGATGCCTCAGTTGACTGATTACATCATTTTTTTGCGTTGCAGTAATAAATCTGGGCTGCAAACTTTATGAAAAAGGGAAATCGTCTCTGCATTTACATATTTTTCAGGTTATGTTGCTCAATAAATGAGCAGTGATTTGATTTGCATGTGATATAAGCTACCTGTTACCTTGTGAACGGCTCCTGCACTGTTGTACTGAGAAGTCATTTATATCACTTGCGTTACGATCGCAGAGTCTTCTGACAAATGTAAGAATTACAGCCTCACAACATGTGTGTTGTGTTGTCAGCTGCTCTGACATTTAAAAGCAGTGGTCAAAGGGTTACGAGTATATAGATAGTCTTAATTTTACTGCCACACGTGCCACTGACTTACCACAAGTTCCATTTACTCGAGCTTACAAAGTACAAGGCTGACGTTTTCAACCGTATCACCACAATTTAGTCAAGATCAAATGTTCTACAGCCGAGTCTTTGCCATGTAGAGAAAAAGAGGCTGAGTGTGGACATACCCTGAGAGAGAACTCGGAGAGACAGAGAAAGAGAGGAGCGAGACGTGAGCGAGACAAAAGGAAATGCAGAGATGAGGAGGATATGGGGGTAGAGAGAGAAGAGGAGGAGGAGGTGCTGCGAGAGGAAAAAGAGGAGTGAGTAAAGAGGTGGAGAAAGAAGCATGAAAGGTAGACAAGTGTGTCTCTGAGGGGAAAGAGATATTTGGACAGCTTTGAGATGAGATCATGGGAAACACAGATCTGTGCGTTAAAAATGAGGCTTAACGGGGCTTGGCCTGGTCCCGCCACTTTATGAGGACACACACACACACACACACACACACACACACACACACAGCTGCACCTGTCCCTGACAAGGCTCAGCAGGAGGAGGCGTGGCCTTTGGCACCGGTCCGGGCTGATCTCCATGGAAACACAGTTTTTACCCCATGGCTTTTTTCCTCATGACTTTTTTTTTTTTTACACACAGAAAGTGAAGTCTGTGACGCTGATGATCAATTTATCACACTCACTCACAAACAGTTTGGATTATGGGAAATGTAGTATCATGATCGTGATTCTGTTGCTTCATATTCTTGAAATCTTTCTTCTGCAAGTCTCCAAACTTCACCGTCCTGCTGAAGCCACTTTAATACGCATACCAGCCCTTTACAGGCTACTTTCTATTTTACTGTGAACCTCAAACCTAGAACCATATCAGATTATATGGAAACCGTAAACGATGGTGCCAGCAGAAGTGTGCTTTCATACTTCCTTATGACTTTGTTGTATTTATCCACGTGTGCTGTTTTTCTTCGTAACTGTCATAGAAGCGTCTGGATGTCTACATTTATCTTAGGATGAAATTTATCTATTAAATAAAAAAAACTTTTTTATTCATTAGTCTTAAGTTGCGGAACACAAACATGCAGCTAATTTTCCCAAAACAAGGGCTGCGAACTTAAGTTGACATTTAATACATATTGGATGAATGGCTTTGACCTTTTCTGTTATTGTTATTTGTTTGTAACAGTGATTTAAAGTCTCATAAATCTTGATTAAGTCAAACGAACCCACTGATTGTATGAAATGAAATTGCAGCAGAGCCTTCTGTCAAACATTCCTCTCCTTTAGATAATAAGCACAGATTCTACTGTGGTCATGCAGGATGACATCTTCTCAAAGTGCATTTAAAATGTCATATATTCAAATATTCAGCCTGTGGTGGGTACACTCTGGAGCCTATGCATCCCTGTCTGTATTCCTGTGCGTCCCGTACCTGAGGTTAACTTGAACAGAGGAGTGTGTTTGGTTTTAATGAGAGGAAGTGTTGGATGGAGGACAGACTGCGTCAGTGTTGTACCACTGTTACGTCCCGGGGCCATTTTCCTCATTAAAATCAAGCCTGTTGGTTTAATTATTCCTGGCGAGGCTCAGTTTGGTTACATGGAACCACGTAGTGTCACGTTCACAGCAAATCAGCTGTTCGAGGTGGAGTCAGACATCATCAACCCGATTTTATCAGGACATGTCAGCTGCTGCTATGGTTTCAGATCAGCTGGATGTGTTAAGAAGAATTAAATGTTGTAAATTAAGATGGTTTTATTGGTGCTGGGTCGTGTTTGAAGAAAGAAGTGGTGACTCTCTGCACAGTAATGTGGATGTTGCCTTTTGACCTCCACAGTTTTGCTCTTTTAAATTGGGTTGAAACAAAGTCTTTGTTTCAGTGGAATATTTTCTTTCTTTTTTGTGTCATTCTGAAAGTTTCACCTCGAGAGCTGCTTTCAGACACGCTCTGAACTCTGGACAATTCCCAGGAATTTTCGTGGGTGGTTGTATGTGAGAACGCAAACGTCAAAGTGCAAGACTCTGGACATTTTCTGGAACTTCTCCTGCCAGTCCCCTTGTAAAATGTTACTGTGAGCCAATATGAGAGTACAGCAGGAACACTGACATGAGGGTGCATGGATGAAATTAATAACAAACAAATACCTCAGAATGAAAAAGAGGTGAAATACGTGTAGAAGAGGCGTCGGTGTAATACAGAACAAGCCCAGGTAGAGTAGAGCTGATTTAAAGGCTTTTTAGCTGATGTTCATTCCCCATTCTCTTATCTCTTACATTAAAAACTCCTCAATCCAAGTTTGGAGATTTTCCTCTTTTGATTCTGGCATCTTGACTCTTCACCTTAAAATGTGTTTGAATAAATCCTACAAACATCCACCTGTTCAAGGTTCGTGACATTAAACTGAGCTCTGAACATTTAGAAGTAGAAGTGGATTGTTTAAGAGGATGAGGTTCATGACAAGAGATCACTAAGAAGCCCTGCGGCGCTCTCTAGTGGTGAATCTGCAAATCAGAATCACAGAGGGTGAAAATACAGAATCATCTCTTCATTGAAAAGGAGGAAAAGTCTTTTTCGTTTTATCTTAGTAATAATCTTATGGTAGAGTTTCAAAACATACAGAGTAAATTTTAAAAACAGACTCTGCTGCTTCCTATACCTCCACTCTTCATCTGCTGAAATGATCCTAACCTCTGTCCGTGTGTGTTTCCAGTGAAGGAGGAATATGTGTCAGAGGAGGAGGAAGAGGAGGCAGTGAAGGATGCACTAGTGGAGGAGATTCTCCAGCAGGGAGACACAGCCATCATCTATCCCGAAGCCCCTGATGACGAGCAGAGTCCGGTGGAGACCGGAGGCGCTGATGAAAACGGTAACGCTGACGCACATCACGCCATCACTACTTAAATGTTTGAATCTAACAACTGTGCTGATCACATTAACTACAGCATCAGAAAAGCCTCATAGATTCATCACTCATCATGTACTTCGTCTTCCAGGCACCCCCGACTCCTTCTCCCAGTTGCACACTTGCCCCTACTGCTCCCGGGGCTACAAGCGCAACGCCTCGCTGAAGGAGCACATCAAGTATCGCCACGAGACCAGCGAGGACAACTACAGCTGCTCACACTGCAGCTACACCTTCACCTACCGCTCACAGCTGGAGAGGCACATGAGCCACCATAGAGGCTCCAGGGATCAGGTAACATCAGACGTTACTGTTTGATTAACGGAACGATGCATCGAACAGAGGATACAATCAGGCCTGAAGATGTCGGGACCATGTTGTGATCAAAATGTTACCGAGATTCTAGGCCCATCGTGTTTCAATAACTTATTGGAAGTCTTGTATAATGCCGGATATTGTATTTTCACGTTATTTTTATTTTTAAAGTTATTTTTACTTTATGCACTATGAACATGTTTTATTTATCTAAGGTATCACGTTTCCTGGCAATAAATTCCCTGAGGCCATGGTAACTTTAAATCAATCTGAAAAACTCCTGGTTTTTCAAACTTTTCGTTTTTGTTTTTCTCATTAATGCACATTGATTTATTTTCCTCCTGATTCAAAATTCAGATTCAGTCTGCAAATATAAAGGAAAAACAAAAGTCTCACGAATAATCAATTTTCATAAAAACCTGTGACCCGATTTTTTAAAAAGACCAAACCTTTTACTCCCTGTTGTGTTGATTGATTAGATTCTGCCTCTGTATTGTATTATTTTAATACTTCCCCTCTTGAATACTGAACTACTCATGCAAACAATAGAATCATGTAAATACATCTGGACACGTTTTCTTGTCTTCATTTACTTTACTTTTCTTGTCTCAGCGTCACGTTACCCAGTCGTCAGGAGGAACAGGTGGAACCCGCAAGTTCAAGTGTACCGAATGTTCCAAGGCCTTCAAATACAAGCACCACCTGAAGGAGCATCTGCGCATTCACAGCGGTGAGCTATTGCCACGGCAACCAAAACACACACACACACACACACTCACACACACACAGAATCCACTATTCTCCTGTTTGAAGAGTTTAAGAGTCATTTCGGAGCTTTCATCACTTTAGACAGAGTGAATATGTATTTAGACAATATGACAGTGTTGGGTTTAGAAGAATCTAGTTCCATTTCAGTACATTTCAGTCATGGAGAGAGGACCGACAGGGAATTTCTGATATAAGGAGAACTTCCACTCACTCACACTCATGGAGTGTATACAAAAAAAAGGCGACTCATGTCCACCTCCTCCCACTGTCCAGAGATGAAGCCAACATATGAACGTGTCTGTGCAGAAAACCTCCTGCTGTGTTGTTCATGTGTGAAAGACAAACTCTGGGTAAACTTCGTGTCCAATTCTCCAGATTTTACCCAGAGGGCATGCGCTCATATGGGGGGTGGGGGGAGGGTGAAGGTTCTGTGTGTGGAGATAGTCCCGGGTGGTGTCAGGGCCATTGAGTATTCAACAGTGGGAATTCGGCATTTCACACATCTGTACCTTCTAATAGGGCAGAGGTGAGAACAGGGGGGGGGGGGTCGTCCTTAACAATGGAGCAGGCTCTTCTGTGGACTCTGCTGTGGAAGATGTCCTGCAGGGAGGGTGGTGATCCTCTCAGCGGTCTTTACCGCTCTCCGCAGGCGCTTGCTCCCACACAGTGATGGTCGTGATGCTCTCGGTGACGCAGCTGTAGAAGTTGCTGAGGATCTTTGGTGACAGGCTGAATTTCCTCAGCCTGTTTAGTGTCCAGGTCGGGGGGGGGGGGGGGGGGGGGGGGGGGGGGGTCATCACTGATGTGGACGCCCACAGATGAAGAGGTTCTCCTCTCCTTCCTCATGTCCACGATCATTCCCTTGGTCTTGTCTGTGTGGAGGGTGAGATAGCTGACTTGCCCCCTCACGTCCACATATCGTCTCCAGTAATAAGTCGTCAGCAGATTTGTTTGCAAACAATCAAATAACTAATTAAAACCAAACTTACCGCAAAAAAAGAATTAACAACCGAGCAAACATCAGTGTGATGACAAACACCTCGACTGACAGAAACCACCTTTGAGAGAAAAGTACTACTTGTGCATCCCATCAACTAACATGGTGGAGGCAGAATTTATAACCTTTACTTCAGGAAACCACCAGGTGGCGATCCCACTGTTGTTTACCTTCCGGTTCGTCCAGGGGGGGCGTAACCTCTGCATGTTAAAAGAGAGGCGCTGCAGGTTCTTCGTGATTCGGATGATTCTTCTCTCACGCGCATCATCAAAAAAAAAAAAAAAGAAAATGGTGCAATGCGTGTTTTCTCAATGGCCGAGCGCACTGAGCCCTTCTCCCGGGAAACGTCCAGGTAAGTCCGCGTCTATGTCCCGGGTCGTGCCCCTCCTGAGCCACTGAGCCGGAAGTTGTTGTTTTCGGTGCCACGAGGTCGAAGTTTAGCTCCGAGACGAACAAAGCTGCGTGTTGATGATGATGATGATGATGATGATGATGCAGATCTTTGTGTGTAGTTCTGTCTGTGAGGCTAAAGCTAATTTACTTTTAGCTTAGATCGTGTTAGCACCTGGATGTGGAGCTGAGGAGTGTGTGGATCAGCTGTGTGTGTGTGTGTGTCACAGTCAGTGATCGGTTTATCAGTGTGATTGTGTGAATTGTGTTATTATTGTGTGTTATTTGTCCGCTGGTTAGTTTGTTTACATAGTGCGTTTCCCGCGTCGGGCTGCGTGACGGCGGCGTGACGTGTTCGCGCACGACAACAACGCGTCACACAAGATGGCTGCGCCCGCTGCACAGCACCTCAGCCACGGGTCCGATCAGCGCGAGTCCCGCGGAGAGCACGCTGCGGCCGGGCGCTGGTCTGCGGGAGATCTGGAGGCGGAGGCCCCGGAGCTTTTTGTCGGGACCATGCGGAGACGCTACAGGGATTACACGAGTGTTTACGTTATAACACGTGGGACGTGCCTGTGTTAGTTATAACTCTTCTTTCTCTGTGTCTGATCGTCAGCAGTGAGTTTTGTCGCAGAAACAGGGTCCAGGTGTTGTTGTTGCACAACCAGACTGTCTGTGCATTCAACAAACACCGAACAATACATATATCCAGAGTAACTCGTGCAGGTGCAGGATGGAAACAGTGAGGTGGCACTTTGTTGTGAACAGCTTGTTTAAGAATCTCTTGTCAAACTTTAAGGTGCTGATCACGTGAACACGAAGAGTCCATGTGCACTTGCAGTTAAAATGCTGCAGGAGTTGGTTTTATATATTTTTAGTTTAGTTTTAAAATGAGTTTTCAACCGAGCAGCCACTTGTCATGTGTAGTGTGTCAGTTTTTGTAAACACGTACTTTTTTCCTTAACTTGTGTGTAAAATAAATTAAAGTGAAAATCAAGAAACTAGAAAATCAAACATCCATGGAAACTTAGAAAATTAAAACGTCAAAGTAATTTTTCAATGTTAGTGCCAATATGATGAAAAAAACAATACTTGTGATACCGCACACGTGAACACAGGTCACTGCTGTATGCTGTGATTTTTCTGTCACACACCATTCATACACAGACCTGGGGTTCAATATCTATGTTAATAAAAATATTAAATGTTCATAATGTTCAAAACAACTCAACACTAATTTCTCTGTTTCTCTTTTAGGTGAGAAACCCTATGAATGCTCAAACTGCAAGAAGCGATTCTCCCACTCAGGCTCCTACAGCTCCCACATCAGCAGTAAGAAGTGTGTGGGTGCCGCACCCCCCAACGGTGTCGCTCGGACGTCGATCAAACCCCCCCCACCCACCACCCAGACCACACCTGTTGCAATCGCCCCGGCCCGCATCATCCTTAAAGAGAAGACTGAGAGTAAGCCCCTTCAGGAGCAGCTCCCCATCACCCAGATCAAATCTGAACCTGTGGAATACGCATGCAAGCCTGTGACGGCGGCAACAGCTACTTCAGCTGGTACCAATGGGGTGGTGAACGGAGGGGTCGCTGCGCCCGCTGCGGCCCCGGCTGCAGCCCTTCCTCAGGGTGTGGCTATGGTCGTGCCAACAGTGGGCCTGATGTCGCCCATCAGCATCAATCTGAACGATTTGCAGAATGTGCTAAAGGTTGCCATGGACGGAAACGTGCTCAGGCAGGTGCTGGGCACAGCCAACGGGGTGGTGACGCAGGGGAAGCAGGGAATTGTAGTCCAGCAGCCGCAGCAGCAGATCATCAGCCTGCCGGCTTTCGTGGATCACGACGGCACCACAAAGATCATCATAAACTACAGCATCAGCCCTGCAGCCGGCACCACTGCCACTACCCAACCGCTTGTAGTCAAAAACAATCCCCCTCTCACTGTGACTAGCACTGCTGCAGCCCCTTCCCCCTCCAACACCGATAAACCCTCGACCCCGGAGGTGGCTGATCTCTCAATCGTCAAGACGGAGCCAGAAGATTCAGTGCCCGTCTCAGAGGAGACAGAGGCGGCCTCACGGACAGAATTGGACAATTTTGAATCTTCAGACTTTGCTCAGTTGCCAAAAGCCAACATCACCAGTACATGTTTACTATGTGAAGACTGTCCTGACAACCTGGAGGCGCTGCACCTCCTCCAGCATCGCAAAGCAGCCAACGGGGAGGCAGTTGACTCTGCCGCCCTGGACCCCTCGTTCGCTGCTTTGCTCAGCGAGGCAGGAGTGACGCTGGAGGAGCCGCCTGTGGAAGACATCGTCTCACTCCTCAAGACCTACTTCGCCTCAAACGCCAACCCCAGCGATAAAGAGCTGACAAAGATATCAGAGGATGTTAATATTCCCATGGACGTGGTCAGAAAGTGGTTTGCCAAAATGAAAAAATTCGGCAAAAGCCACAGTAACACTAATGCAGCGATTTCCAAAAAGACTCGGACCAGAAACTCCCTCCCAGCAGACACTTTGAATCAGAACGGAGAGGGAGACGACGACCAAGTCCCAACACATTCTGGAAGCACTTCTCCTTCAGACTCCACGTTACAAAGCCTCAACAACGGGGACCTGGTCATCGTTAAAAGCGAGCCAGAAGACCCAGAAGACCCGGAGTCACAGGCACAGCCCCTGGACCTGTCGCTTCCTAAACATGTCGCTGCTGCAAGGAAAATCAAAATTATCAAGCCTCTGGTGAAACAGCAGGAGCAGCCTCTGAACCTGACCTGCCTGAGGAAGGAGCAGCTCGGCGGCCGAACCATCTACGTCACCACATCTCAGAGCGGAACCCCGGTCAACATCGTCACTGCCGCACAGCTGCCCACGTTAGTGGCCATTGCTGGTCAGAGCACGGTTCGTTGCATCAGTGCCATCAACACGACAACGAAGCGAACCATCCTCATCCCCCAGCTCACCTACACCTACGCCACCACGCCCGGCAACGCCTCCGGAGCAAAGACTGTCGTACTCAACGGCCACAAGGTTTGTTTGTTGTCCACACAATATTTCCTCTGTGAGATTTTATTCAGTTACATTTGAGTTCTTCTCATCGAGCTCAAATATTTCTTCTTCCAGCGCCTCTGTGAGGTAACCGGCCCAGAAACATCCAAAACTATGGATTCATTTTTAGAATGCTTTAGCTTCTGTGACCATAAGACAAAATCTTCGAATGCTCTGTGATTGTCAGGTCTGTTGACTCCACTTACACATTTATTAATGATGACGTAATGTTTTTGTTTGTGTCGTCTCACAGGAGGAGAAACGTTTGGACAGCAGCTCAGACGGTTTGTCCACAGTGGAGGAGCAGAGCGACTTGGATTCAGCCGCGCTGATGAAGAAGCGACGGATGGAGAACGGCGTCTACCCCTGCGATCTTTGCTCCAAGGTCTTCCAGAAGGGCAGCTCCCTGCTCAGGCACAAATACGAACACACAGGTTTGTTCACGTGTTCGTCAACGCAGTTTTGTTTCATTACATCTGTCGGCCATCGTTTTCAAAGATAGTTAAATAAATCCAGTCGCCCAAAGGTTTCCCCGATTTCAAGAGAGTGATTTCACATGACATCATATCTCATGAAATGTGTGTGTTTATGCGATGGTACATTTTATGGGACACCTGGCTTGTAAATGCAGGATCATAGAAACTGTGGACATCAGTGTTTACAGAGATGAGACTCCTGAGGTGAATTAACAAGACACCTTCCCTGAAGCTCCATCGAGCGTTACACTGGAATGTGGTTTTATTAAAATCTGTTAGCAGTTAGCTGTCATCTGCACTACTGTGCACTGGTGTGTGTGTGTGTGCGCTAGATCAGCCATGACATCATCCTCCTAGATACACACAAAGTCATACACACTTATAAACTTCTAGATAAAAGCTCTGAAGCTTCCTCCTCTGACTGTTTCTTTTCTCATCTGCAGGAAAACGGCCTCACGAGTGCACCATCTGCAAGAAGG